AATCCCCAGCGCTCTCTTCCAGCGGTATCACGGTGCTGCTAACTACGCTGTATCCTGGAGCAGGCAGACTCTCCCTAGAGCGGTGTTTATCTCATTACTGTGCTTCCGCTCATTTTGCCATATTTACCTTCCTCCCTTTTAAAGAAATCACTTTAAAATGTGCATCTGCAAGCTTTACCTTTTGCAGTTACTGGAGCTGTCAGCAGACGTTTCCTCCAACTGTTTGTAATTCCCCTAATTTGCCACACCTGCCAGTGACCTCCTTGTTAATAAAATTATTTTGCTCTTGTTTAGCTCCTCACAGCTTTCAGGTGTGAAGCATGAGCAGGCTGCTGAAGGCAGGCTCTGCGTGGTGCCTGCTGCTCCGCCGGGCTCTGCCGGGCTCGGCTCCTGCTCCGCCGGGCTCTGCCAGCTGCCTGGGTCCCGCTCTGCGGAGGGGGGCCCTGTGGGAGGGATGGGGCTGGGGATCGATACCCCACCTCGCCAGGGATCCCAGACAAACCTGGCTGTGCCTGCAAACCCCCTCCCGACCCCCGTCCGCCTCGCAGCTGCTACCCCAGCGCCAGCCGCAGCCCGTCGGCACATCCCTCCCAGAGAACTTGGCTCTTCCATTACGGGGTCAGTGTTTTGCAAGGCTGGCCTTATGCTGCGAGACACCGGTACCAGCAGCCATTTAAACAACTGCCGGGGTGGCAAAACCGCCCTTTGCACAAATCCCGTGCGACTCCCACAGGAGCGGGGTACACAAACCTCATCTCTGCACTGACACCGCAGAAAAGACGGCGGTGCCCGCGAAAGCTCTCAGGCAGGAAGCCCCCACCCGAGCTGCCGGGGGCAGGACGGGCCCTGGCCGTTCCCCGGGGCACAGCAGGGGCCCTGCCCGTGTGGGGACGCAGGGCCAGGCTCTCCCCAGGCTGCCCAGCAACTGCCCCTTCCCCTCCAGAAAGAGCCAGCGGCACTCGCCTCTGCCTTACCTGGCATCGAGGAACCTCGATCTTAAAATCATGACTGCTTCACAAGTACTTTGTTTGAGCTGCATCTGGATGGAGCTGAATTTTCGATGAATGATGCCCACCATCCTTTCAATCTCCTTGGGAGAAATGGGACGTGTCCGGCTCTGTTCTCTGAGAAGGTTCATCACATGTGTGGTAAATTCATTACACGCCTGCGAAGGAAGGAGAGGCTTAGGAACTGTTTTGTGCTTTCCCACAAGGACACAAGCTCGGGCCTGGCTGTCGGGGGGGGGGCAGTGAATTTTCGATGAATGATGCCCACCATCCTTTCAATCTCCTTGGGAGAAATGGGACGTGTCCGGCTCTGTTCTCTGAGAAGGTTCATCACATGTGTGGTAAATTCATTACACGCCTGCGAAGGAAGGAGAGGCTTAGGAACTGTTTTGTGCTTTCCCACAAGGACACAAGCTCGGGCCTGGCTGTCGGGGGGGGGGCAGCGCCGAGGGGGCTGGGGGACCCTGGCACTGCCCCGTCCCCTCTGCACGTGCACCGACGTGAGACCCGGCACCCTCCCGCGGCAGCCAGGACAGCCCCG